TTTTAACTGGAAAAACAGACGAACAGAATGAAAAATAAAATCTATAAAAAATACCAAGAATATTAGTTGCTCTTTCAAATTTCGCTAAAGCCTGCCTATATTTTACCTATATCTGCAGAATAAATCAAGAAAACTATACAAATTGACTCCATTTACGAATAATTAACGGTTTGCCCGAACGCACTATTGAAAAGTATCAAAAGAAGGCCTTTTAAACGAACATGTGTTTTTTCAGCATTGATAAATAATGTATTTTTCATTGATAATTGTCACGTGGATTCTAATGTCGCGTAATTTGATTGTTATAATCATTCTTGTTGCAATATTTGAGTCTCGGATTCTTATCTACTGTGGTTTGAATTCTGTCATTGTGATTCTGGCTGTTGATATAGTCTTTGATTTCATTGGCAGTTGACTGCTCAGAACCTGGTATACCGGAATTCGGTTCCCATACGGGGGATATAACCAACGGTAGCACAGTGACTTTCTTGTGTGATAGCGGGTATACATTGGTTGGATCGTCTAGCATCTATTGCAGCAGTGGTACATGGACTGGAGACATTCCTACTTGCCATGGTAAGTTGTGAATAGATCTGTGACAAGTGCGCCAGAATGTCTTATGGTTCAAGAGGTAAAACAGCCTCGCTCTGGGTTACATTCTCGATTCAGACTATGAGGGCGCCTAAATTATTTCTTACTGTTTTTTGTTCCTTTTAGCCGATTGCGTTGTTCTCACACCACCCGGAAATGGACAAATGATTGGATCCAATTTTGTCCACGGTAGTGTAGTGTCTTTTTCATGTGATGTCGATTACACCATGATTGGTCCTTCCTCAGTCACGTGTGAAGACGGTATATGGAACAGCACCGCCCCCTCGTGCTATGGTAAGTCCCTTGTAATGTAGATAATTACAGATATTACACTTTTGTGATCGTGTTCGCATCAGTAATGTAATAAGGTTGACATTTCCTGAATCTATACATCGAATATAATATAATTTTAATATCATAAATTCAAATTCGTGAACGAACGTTTTATTATTAATACAAAAGGCAAAACAGCCTCGCTTTGAGTTCAATGCTCGATTCTGACTATGAGGGTGCCTAAATTTCTTACTAACTATATTTCGTCTTTAGCCGATTGTGTTGTTCTCACACCTCCCGCAAATGGTCAAATGATTGGATCCAATTTTGTCCACGGTAGTGTAGTGACTTTTTCATGCGATGTCGATTACACCATGGTTGGTGTGCCTTCAGTCGCATGTGATGACGGTGTATGGAATGACAGCGTTCCCTCGTGTCATGGTAAGTCGTCTCGTTTTATTGTCTGTACCCTGGACACAGACATTCAATTCCTATTATTGTTCTTGCATCAGTAACATGCAAAAATAAGAATAAACTTGTAAAACTTTTGTGCAACCCATACATTTCACTGTACGTATTACAATTCTTTAATAAAATGACTAAACACAAGAGTTACAAAAAAGATTATGCCCATATTTTAGAAACAACATCCAAATTATAATTCGATATTCAATTAACTTTTAACTGAATATCAAGTTACAGGAAACCTAGATTGTTGTTGATGTTGTTCGAAAATCCACATAGTTTACCGTAATTCATTTTCGAGCATGCGGTAAGCTTGTTCCAATTTCAGGCTCTAATCGCTGGGCATGGTTTGTGTGGTTTTAAACACAAACAACTGTCTAGGTTTCCCACAACTTAATTAATTATTTCTTAATTAAGATTCGAGATAAATTATCTGGACGTTAAACAAACCAAAAGTCTACGTTGCCTAAAGCTTGAAGTTCGATTTACTTATGAACTTTGAAAAACTTGGCGTGGTTTCTAAAACACGGGCGTGGTCATATTTGTAACTCGATGTTTTCATAAGTTCGTAACTTGAAGAACTCAAATAAATGCCAATTACTTTTATATTATATTTGTACTAGTATTCACTAATGTCTGTCTGTACTCGTTACGATATCCGGTTGAATCATGTAGCACATAACACATTCTGCACATATCTACGGTCACGCATCAAATATACGAACCATATATTCAAATAATAACATACCCACTGAGTTGGAATCTATTTGAAATTGATGCGAACACATGAATTACATTTCATGTGTGAATACTGCGAGTGATAGCTACTATATTTCCTACCATTTTACAGCGGATTGCACTGATCCAGGCACACCGCCCTCTAGCACTCGCAGTGGTGAAACAAATCATGGCAGCGCCCTCACATACAATTGTACACAAGGCTATGCGATGCTTGGCTCAGATACCGTTATCTGTATGGATGGAAGTTGGGACGACACAGCGCCCGCGTGCTATGGTAATTATTTAATTTATGCAGATTCCGGGGTCGTATGGAACAAAACAGCAACAACTATCAGTGTATTAGGCTACATTTTGTGTCCATTCTATATTCTGTATTCACCATTGGCTGCAAATTGTCTTTGTTTATTCATATTTGTTTTTAGAATAGTTTTTTTTTTCTTTTTAGATTATAGTTATTTTTTTCTGTAAGACCCTTTTTTCATCCTTTCCTGAGGATTTTATGCGTCTAATAAGAATATTACATATGGAATATTATAAAGCTGCAGCGATTATTTTCAAGGTTCCGATGACGTACCTTTTTTCACCTTACTATCGTGCTTCCTG